GCGAAAACACTGTAAACCATTTATTCTGCAACCTCATAACCCCGCTGCCTTTTTTACATCAGCAGTTAGATACACGTACAACAAAAAGTCAAAAATGCATTTACAACACCGTTATTGACAAAAAGTCTTCCTGGCTTGAGAAAATGTCCCAATATTTTTGCATGCTGCTGACATTTAGCTGAAATGTGCAGTTCCCAAACAGCTATCTAAATCTAATATTTCCTCCTGGGCATAAAAATGCTTAGATGTCTAAATGTTTAAACAGAAGACTGAGTGAATGACAAACGGAATCCTAAATGTATTCATCATTTGTCTCCCAGGTTAATTGAGGATGACTAATAACTAAGCGTTTGACTAGTAAACCAGGGAACAACAAAGATCTCTGCCAAAACCGAACCAGATTTCCCTGCGCAATCCCCCCCCCCAAAAAAATGTATTCAGAGTTCATCATCCAAAAGTATATTTAAAAAAAAACCCTCCAAACCCTGAGATCACTGTGGATAAGTGACTCCATGAGAGCAGGTTAGCGCAGCGACTACCATGACCAGCAGCGTGTACAGTTGTCACATGTCATCAGCTCAACCAAGTCCAGACGCCGGCCATGGCAGACCGTGCACACTTACACCCCCCCGTCCCGGTCCGCCTCGTCTCTGGAGGCGGTGCGACTGAGTGTATTTTTAGACTGTGCCACCTTATAAGCACAGCCTGGTCGCATCACATCTGTGTAGTTTAAGTGGAGCCCTCTCCCATCGAGGCAATGTGCCCTTTTACCAAGAGCCTAAGGTCAGACTGCAGACCTAACGCAGATTCATTGTGACGCCTGAAATAAAAAAACGCTAGGATGAAATATTGTGTGAGGCTGGATTTGGTTGAATCACAAATGTTGTCACCCTGCTTCAAAGGCCAAACAAACGTCAATATACAGTAAGATGGTTTAGAACCTTAAAGTTCAAATTCAATCCCTTTAATTTCTCCCCTCTGTGATCAAAAAGCGCAAGTGTGTTTTTTGAACGTATTGTTAATAGTTTTGTATTATTAAAAGGAAGAAAGAGACAGTCAACCCACTTCAGCTGTAGCCTTCGCGTGATTGGCTGGCTGGTGCTGCTATTGAACACAAAAGATAAACATGCTGATGATTTATTCAAGTGTTAAATTTCCACTTTCATGTTTGTTAATGCATATTTGAAAGTATTGCACTAAAAAACTGCGTGTAGGTAAATTGACAACTTAATGAAACATCCTCAATTGGAGAAAAATAACTATATTCGCTTTTAGGGTTTTCTGCCTTAGTTGATGAAGTTTTGCTATAATGAACATTTAACTAACAGAACTTATCAGTGGACTCCGCTGTTGGGCACCGTGTAATGTGGTCGATATTAGCTGACATGAAAGAACACAGAGAAATTCTGCTTTTAAATCTTTCTCTTTTGATTTTTTGATGGCCGAGTTGCTTTTTTAGGCTAGTTTCCCGATTGCAGCCTGCTCTTTATTTACTCTGACTGTTGTTGTATTACAGCAATGCATAAGCAAAGCCTATACAGAGTGCTTGATACCAGACTATCGGGCCTACAAAGCTAATGTAATTCAAACCAAATGACCAAATGTAGCTGTAACCTAAGCTCTGACAGGAAGACTCATGCACTCTCATGCACTTTATTTCTCATATATCTGCCAAACACTCCTCTCTCATGCTCACTCACTATTTCCTCACAGTTGCTGTTCGGAGCGTTCAATCAGGACATCAGCTGTTCAGAACGACTTTATCATCAAATATCATTCATTATAATAATAAACAAGTATCTTTCAAACATGTCTCTCCACGTTGGACGGAGCAGCAGAAATATCTGAGCTTCTGCCACCAGTGTAGCAAACACTCCCCTCCATGACTGACCCACTTTCAAGTGTTCAATGCAGTTTTCAAAATCCACTAAGGATAATGCAGTGAAAACTCCATTTAGCCTCCTCTCGGACTCCTCCGCGGCCCCCGTCGTTTCAAATGTCGATGTATGCAACGTAAAATAATCGGCCGAAATACTGAACTCATCCACACGATCAAAATATATAATAAATGACACACACCAGATTGAGAGGCTGCAGGTGGTGAACTCTCGTCATGAAGCGGAGCAGCTGCAGCAAAGAAGAACAAAAAGGCAGCAAAGCACAAAAAAACCTCACTCCTCATTCCTCTCCCAACCAAACCGGAGCCGTCTGTCTCTCTGCTGCGACGGATATTAACCCCCGAGGTTGATTTAATTCGAACAGCAGCGAGGCTCAGAGGAGCTCACTGCTCCCTTGGCTCCGACCCTGGATTCTGCATCGAGATTTCTTGCACAGAAGTCCATGCGCTTGTTTAGCTGATCTGTGAACGCAGGCGGGAGCACGTCTCCACGGGCAGATTGGTAATTTGTAAAACCTGTCCATTCAAAGCTAACACAATGTGTGTTACGTCACCTCCAACCACAGGTGCTGTTGTGGAAAGTCTCCCAGCCAGCACACCTCCACAGTATGTGGGCGGGAGTTCCAATGTCATTAACACGTTGGCTGCACACAGTCTATATAGTTTATCACATACTTAGTATGCATACACATACACCATATTTATCACAATTTTTATGAAATATTAAATCCGTCAAGATCACTTCTTGAAGATTGATCCTTGAAGGATTCTAAAGACCGAATATCAACAGTATAAAACACAAATCAAACAAAATCTACTTCTTCCCGCCACCAACCTCACATGTTGCACTTTACACGCACGTCTTTCCAATTTGTCATCACGTCACCATTTTATCCCATGAAACTTTAGTATGAAATTGTTAAAGTAAGCAAATACTTTTATTCTTTTTACATCTCCAGAAAATAACTACACGGTAACTAATAGTCATATATTGAAGGCACTGACCATTTGATGTGAGTTGAAAGTTATTAATATTTAACCCTTAGCATGAAGATGCTTTAAAAGGTTTTAAGCAATATACACTTTTTCTGAACAGATAATAAAGGGCTTTTGTTCACAATGAATGTCTCAAACAACAGTCATTAACTAAAAGTGTTGAGTTTTAAATTACATTCATGTTGTGCTGAAGAAAACAGTCAAACATGCTCTCAAGTTCTCCATTTATGATTCAGCAGTGAACGTGTTAATTTAGGATTAATAAGCTTTTCTTCAGCCTGGTACAAAAACCATTACTCGGCATTTAAGCTCGGCTGCATCAGCCAAATGTCGTGGGTTGTTTTTTATACAGCCAATTTATACTGATGCCTATTTGATATTATTAATATAAATCAACACACAAAAAAAGAAATGCAATACAAGAAGAGACACTGCATTAAACACGTGATGTCCAACAACTTCATAATTTAGGAGAACGTTAGGGAACAACTTTCCAACAGCACTTGAATACACTGCTGAGAAAACTCTCAGAAAACAGAACTAAAAATATTAGGATGAGAATAATGGAAATGGACAGACGGCACATAAAGAGAAAAAAAGCAGAGGGAAAAGATAGATTTAGAAAGTATACCAAAGAGGGATGGTAGAAAAGTGGTGCAAAGAAAGCAGGTGAAGAACATGAAAAGAAAGAAGAAAGAAAGAAATTGGAAGGAATGAAAATGTAAAAAAGAATACCAGTTTGAATGAGACGAATTTAAGGGAAATAAAAGAAAAGGATGCAAAATAATGGAAAGGAAATGAGATGAACAGTAATGAGAGGAAATTTAGAGGAAAAGAAAAGATGCAAAGCCATTCAAAGTAACTGATAATAAAGGATCAAGTAGATTAAGTGGAAATCACTAAGGAAAGTAAAGCATAAAGGAAGAATATGAGCAGAAAGGAAAGAAGGTTAGGGAAGGAAAGAAAAGTATAGCAAATTGGAACAGAGATGAGAGACGAGGAAAGAAAAGGACTGACAAGTGTAAAAGGGGCAAAGTAGAAAAGGAAAGAAGGCAAAGAATTGCAAAGGAAATGAGAGGAAAGTAGGGGAAGATAAAAGAATGAAAAGGAAATAGTGAGCCAAGAGGAAAGGTAGTGGTGAGTGAGTAGTGCATGGATTGTTGAAGCAGCGAGAGAAAGCAATGCGTCTCCTAATCTTCTTCAGATCCTCGTTTCAAGATTATTAGTGCGAAGGCTCCCAGTAATCAGAGCAAAGACCAAAGTCCCTCCAATCTCTCCTCTCCAGTTTCTCCTCGCCAACCTTAAACTCCACTTGAAAGGAACTTGGAGTGAAAATGTCCCTTTTACTGGGACACTAACCAAAAAACCTTGACATGCCTCATGAAATCTCAAGATGTTCACGTGTGATGTCACAGAACCGCCGAGTTGGTAAACCAGTATTTGTCTTTCTCCGACGCCAGCTAAACAACACACAGCAACAGCATACACTTATCGGGCGGGAAGTGACGAGCCTGACAATCGCGTCTGTCCAACACGTCGTGTCTTAATCAGGCCCACGGGGGGGGAAGGCCGGCAGGGCCTGACACTCACAGCGTGTCCTTGCATGTAATTAGCGGTTAGCATCCCCTTTGCATCCAACGGCAGTGACGTCAGCATTGCACATTGGTCTGAACCTCTGCCGTGTATGCATCCAAGCTACTTTCTAAAGAAGATCACACACTGAAACGCAACCAAATCTATACAGCTGGTGAAATATGACACTACACTAATGCAGCAGCAGCTGGTGTATCCACTGTTCAGTGAACCAGCGGTAGTCGATCAATAATCAAGGCTGCCTGCTTTTCATGCTCTCCCCAAAAAGGTTTGGCGTGGCAGGAGGGGGACGAGGTCAAGTAGTGAACGCGTTCGTCCTTTTGGAAGCACCCGTTTACAGTGCTCTAAAACTCTGGTCAGTTGTAGCATCTGTGTCATTGTAGCAAAAGACATGCGTTTTAAAAGGGAGACGTAGCAGTGAGGCTAAAAGGTGAGGGGAGGTGGATCGATGCGTGCATGTTTCTGATTACTGAGAGCACAAACAAACACGATGTATAAATCACAAAGAACTCACGTTGTCTGTTCTGAGCTTCTTGGCCGGGCAGCCTCCATCCACAGGATGTAGCATGTAATACAGCCGCACTTTGTTGGCATGTTTCCGACTCTGATGGAGAGAAAAGGAAATAAAGTGGATGAGGCCTCAATTCAATTTCTCCACCTGATTATATATCATAAGGAAAACAATATGCCACACAAGTGGTTTATAGGCAAACTTATCAGGGGTGTAAAATGTTTACGTCATACTTTGTGTGAATGGTTGGTTTGCAAATGTAAACACAGCCCGGATCGCCATTCACTCGTTCCTTCTGCCCTGCAGGGTCTCACATCTCATATTATTGTATCACCATCAAAACACAACCAGGAAAGACAAGATCATGTGACGAGATGATCAATATGACGACGCGGGTGGCGAGTTTTGCCTTTTTAAACATGAACGTGTCAGTAAGAAAAATCAACAAAGAAAAGAAAGCGGGAAGGCAGCATGGATGGAATCAGTCCATGGTGTTTCCTACCTAGCAACAAGCGTGCACTAGGGCCCGTCCTAACTACAGTTCACCATTGGCTCTTGCTCTACTTATTCCAATCAAACTAACAATGCATCGCTTTTTGTTCTCCCCCCCCCCTGTGTTGGCACAAAAAGTCCTAGCTTGTAACAGCCCGTTAACCTTGTGTGTGTGTGTGTGTGTGTGTTATATTTTTGTCACCAACCTCTCATGTCCTTTCACTTCCTGTCTTTGTGTTGCTCCTGATCTCTCATTCGTCACACCTGCCCCTGTTTCCAAACCCCTGCTTTCCCTGTTCTGCTGCCAGCTTGCCTTTGTTCTATTTTGTGTGTTCATCGTCTTCCAGCCTTTCGCCCTCATGATAGTAAAAGACCTCAGCCGTTTCCTCACTTTGTCTCCCGTGCTTTTTCTCTGCTCTTGAGTCTCTCCTCCCGCCCAGAACCTTTTACGAAGCAATAACCCAAAGTGACCGATAAACTTATTTGAGGTATCAGAACTGTTTTAAGATTAGATCATCCCTAATTAAGTTATGATATCCCACTGGAAGCTGTTTGGAAAAGGTCATGCGCTTTCAAAATATACTTTGCAGGTGATTGGATGAATCATTCGAGCCGTCACGATTCAGTCAAAGCCATTTAAGAGCAGAGTGGAAACGATATTTTCCATCAAGGAAAACCTTCAGTGCTGTTGCTCTCCTTTTAAAGGAGAAGCCATTTCTGACATGGTTCATGCTATTGCAGCATCTAATCTAACCTCATTATGAACCACAATTGCTCTTTTGAACAAACAGACGTATCCATGTCGCGTCACACGCACTTAAACGTGGTACCGGCAGAATTCAGCTGCCCTGCAAAGGGGATCCCCATGTTGCTGCAGAGAATAACCATCACGTGATGACGTCTGATGATTAAAACTGTGTATACCTTTACCAGTGAATATAGTGCTAACACTCTACCTGAACATGGCACTGTGCCTGTGTGGCAGTGTGCAGTGATTGGTCCTAATAACTTTCAGCTGGGTCTGGACCACAGCCAATCGCTGCTTGACAATAGGGTATAAAGGCGGCCTCAGAGCACCTGCCTGCATTTCATTTGCCCGAGGCTGCGGCTACGACACCTCCTGGCGTCTTTCACGCTGTGCCGTGTGGTGACATGTAGGCTGTCTGCACCAACTGTATTCCCTCCCACGCTGTCCGCCCAGTGCTCATTTAAGTGCCTTTTGTGTCCCAGAAGCTCACTGGTATGGCTGCATACTATTCGCCACCTGATACACTCAATGTGCCGCTGGTAGTCCTCGTGGTAGCGTTGATCCCTCCGACCCACGCTGATTGTCTGAAGCGGCCTGACCGGTATGTAGCGCAGTGGCTTTAGCTCCCTCCTCCAGCCACAGTGAGGCTTTCATGTCTGTTTTCCTCTGCAGGGCAAAGGATCATTGAGCATCTGCTCTACACCCGCTAACCTGCCAGAGACCACTGCTGCTTTGCCTTTTGGCCAAGTTGCTTTGTTTTACCTTGGTTAAACTAACCCTGTTTTGGCTGTGTTTACCCTGTTTGCTTTTGTTTTGGCCTCCTAACTGGGTCAAGACCCGTTTTTACTGTGTACGAGAGACAGGCCTTACTTATTTGTTTGGATCCTTTGTTGTTTGTTTGTCAATTTGTTCTTATTTTGTTAAGCCATTTGTCGGGTGTTTTATTAGTATAGTTTTTGGTTAACTTATTTTTTCTGTTTTGGTTTAGTTTCTTTTATTTTAAACCAGTTGCTCTCATCTCCACCCCCCCCTTTCCGGTGCGGAGTCTGTGGTGGAATGGTGTCCCATGTGGTGGTGTCCCTCTTATGTTATGTTTTTGCACGTTTGCTTCACTTTTAGTTGTTTCACGTGTGGTGCTCCTTGGGTCCCCTTTTATTTGGACAGTCCATCGTAAGTCTCGGCCCTGATTGGTTTCCCCGTTGCTTGTCCCAGAGTGAAGAGGTTTACTGTTTTTAAACCGTAAATTGAATTTAATAAAATTACATTGTGTCTTAAACTAAGTCTCTGCATAATTTGCAACGAACCTGAGTGCCTCCCCTTAGTTTTGTTTGGGTGACGATTTAAAACAAGAAAATAGAAAACTCCTAGAGTGAAATTGTCTGGCAACATTATAATTAAACTGCCCTCATCTTTACATCGCGCCTCGTGTAGCTACACCTGTCCTTTTCAAATACACAAATAGAGAAGATGGCTTCAGTTTATAGTTCTAAGATAGCATCTAGTGAGGCATGTAGCAGTGTGCATGTGTACGTTATTATGTCCGGCATGAAGAACAGCCACCGGCTTCTCTTCACAGGGACATGACAGACAAACTCCTAGTACAGGGGGGTGGGGGAGCATGGCTGCAGGAATCCATTTGTTTTGCCTGTCTGGTTTCTTGGCAGATGTACAGCAACGTGAGCTTTGCTGCTTTTTTGGGGGGGGTGGGGAGGGATCTGATCCAACTAGAAGAGCATGACTGATACGTAGCAGTTAACTCGGCACTGTCTGGTTTGTCTGAATCTTTAAAAAAAAAAAACTCCTGCAAATTATTTTTGAGCCAATTTAAAGTTTCTTTTGTGATTTGATAACTATATTGATGAAATGCATTTCTGCCTTTTGAGCAAAGGAGGCGCACTCAGTCAGATTCGGGGTGAGGTCCTCGCCACATGGCGGGCAGCAGCAGCAGACTTTGGCCCTTGTGGTGCCCAGACGCATCATTAGTTATGTCACCCTGAAGTGCCATTCGTGCACTGATGTCTATTCTTTGCAGCAGAGCGCTACTGGATAGAAAGGTTCTGCTCGATCAGCTTACAGACACCATTGCTTCAAAAGGTGTACACATTTGCCTTCATATTTACACATTTGTAATTATACTTATGCAAATTATTTTAATTATGATCATATATTTATTTGCATAATAAATGCCGCCACATGCATATATAATTAATATTTCAGTGTGATTCTTTGTCAGGAACGGGTAGATGGAAGCAGGATTCAAACGCAGACTTAAACAAAAGGAACTTTAATAGTCAAACTTGAAAGGGAAAACGCAGACGGGAACCAGAAACCGGGGAATGCCATCCAGGGTTGAACAGTGACGCGACCAGGGACTTGAATACACTGGGAGGTGCAGGTGATTGGACACAGGTGGAAACAGACAATCACAGGGGATGACAGGACAAGGCAGGAAGTGAAGTTAACACAGGGACACAAGGGGCAGGAAACAAACCCACACCGTGACATTCTTCCAGTCCAAAGTTTAGTCTATCAAGGAATAACTGGAGAACCTTAAACGAGTAGTTTTGGATAGTAGTGTTGCATTAATGCAAAGCATTAGAAACCTTGAGCTCTGTCAAAAGGTAACAAAACATACCAACAGGCCTCTATTGAAAAGACAAACCTGAAGAGTGCCCTTTGCTTGCTACAATAACTAACAAAAAGGCTGTAGTTTTGAGAGGTTCCCAGCCTGGAAGAGTTGTTTCAAATAATCAAGCCCAACCGTGCCCATGAACCACATATTTCTTCTTTTGAACTTGTTAAGTACCACCAGCATTAAGGACTGTCAAATATTTCTCCTGAACGAGGATGCCTGAGAGTTTTACAGTCTACCAACCAAACCTAGGATCGTCAATGGAACCACTTGTATTACAAAAAATGTAAATCTTAAAGTACATACAGGCACATCTTTGAAATGTCACTTCTGTATTTAACTAAAGAATTGATCCATGGTAGATGCAGAGGATGAAGCTGCTCCCTTTGCGGTTAAAAGACGACCTGCTCTGAAAACCTGGAAAGAGCAAAGCACGTATTTATCAGTCAGACTGCTTCTGTCTGCACAATGTGCCATGTTGTTATTCTGACGGCTTGTTATGGGCGAGACACTTTTGTCCAGCGGCCTGTTTTTGTACTCAGTCTCTGATTTGCTTACCATATATTTTTATCCTAACACTCTCAAATCCCCCTCCCAAGCCTGACCCCAAACATCCACTAAAGGCAATGACTGCTACATAGTAAATAAGACTCTAACCCAGGATCAACACACTAGTGTTACTGGTTACTGAGCAGTGTGAAAACGTTGGTCTCAATCTTGAAAAAACTAATTTGAAGATAACAGGTTGAGACTAGTTTGTTCCATATTGGGCATATGTGAAAGTTTGATGAAAGCCTGCGATGGAAAGTGGATGTCACTCACGTGGGAGTTTATTAACAACTCTACTCTCTGCCAGCAGGTCCCCCGTTGCCTCCTCCTACTCTACTGCACAACATGTTAACTTTTACCACTGCGTGCATCATTCCAAACTGCTGAGATATACATGCAAGCTTTCTGTTTAAAGTAGGTTGAATCAAATACAATGAACGTGCAAACGGAGATATGTGCACGAATCAATGGTGATCAGGTTTTTTGCTGTTATATTTAAACGGTATATATGGCGATGCTGCATAATAGTTTTACATTGCAACAGAGCTACACAATAGATATAGATACATAGACAGATATTATAATGCTCTGCCGGCAGCGTAGCATCTGGGATGGAAGTCTTAAAAGTTAAACTTTTGGTTTAGAGAGGAAATTGGAATTAGCAAAAATCAG